GCATCTCGGATCCGGGCACATCAACCCACAGAAGGTGCTGGATCCAGGGTTGACGTACGATGCAGTGGAGGCGGATTATAAGAACTTTCTGGCAGGGAGGAAGATGCGGTGGGCTAAGGCCATGTTTCCCTCGGATGCCCTGGCTCCTCTGAGGGCGTACCAGCTGAACCGGCCGTGTATATCGGTGCAAGGGCTGCAGAGCACGGTGGTGATTGTGCGGCGCGTGACGAATGTTGCGACGAGTAGTTCGACGTATCGGGCTAAAGTGAAGCAGCCGTTTGGGGTGGCTGTGAAGGTGAAGCCGCGGAAGTTCACGATTGCGCCTGGCGCCACGCAGGTGTTTAAAGTGACACTCACGCTGCAGCTTCCGTGGAAGCTGTTTCGGTTTGGGAGCTTGTGGTGGCTGGACGGTAAAGGGCACTCGGTTAGGATCCCCATTGCTGTGCAACCGTCATGGATTCGGTGAGGTGGGAACCGGGATGTAATTGGCGAATGAGATGGAGCTAACGAGTGGCTCTCTTCTTGAGAGTGCTGCTGAAGGTTTTGTATTAGTTTGTAGATTGTATTGTAGGGCAGTAACAAGTTAGCACATGGCTAACTCCTGTTCCTGTAGTCATTTATGATATTACCGTATAAGTTGGAAATCATCTCACACTGGTTGAATTAAGAGCGTGTTCCTACGACCTATCAGGGGCACCTCGTATCAGATTGGTACTCCTCGCCTGTAAATTGGCAAACTCGCTAGAACCTCGTATCAGGAATTTTTGACGGCTAACACATTCATGCGACTCAACGTCAATGCTGACGTGTCTTGTCTTGAACCAGCAATGTGCGCGTTTTGCCGCAGCAGAACATCGCGCCTCGATTTGCAGCGAAATCGAACCACGTAAGCACACCCATACCACTTCGGTCCACACTGCTTCGTCAGTTCTACCCACAGCAGTGCCTTGCCAACACCAGCGTGTTGTTGAATAACAAAAGTACATAACGCGACTAGCGGCACAGGTATTCATTAACTAGTAGTCCCGCCATGACGGACATACCCTTCTTGCCACGCTTGTTAATTGTGTGGCATACGTTCTATTATAATACTTTCTTTAATAGCGCTGTCAACTCCTGCATTGCGGAGCAGGGAGAGAGCGTACCAGAGTCTAGAAGCGACCTTCGCGCGCGGAACCGTCGCTTACGGCGGCGACGACTAGATGTATGGGAGGACGAAATGACGACGATGTCCGAAGAGACATTTGTGGACTTATTCCGCATTAATCGTGCCATGTTAGACTACATTTGCGAAGGTATGCAGTCCGTGCTCAACCCGACTATTCATAGGCATCGTATCCCGATTAGAGTGGCCGTGTTGGTGCCCATTAAGTACTTCGCGAGCGCACTGGCTTACGTCGACCTTGCGTTCTGGTTCGGGTCCCCAAAACTCTGTGTCATAAGCTCGTCGACCTGTTCTTGCAGAACTTCCCACGAGTATTCAAAGCCGCATGGATCCGCTTCCCTTCACGCAATGAAATGCAAGACATGGCTGCGGCGTTCCATAGCATAAAGGGCGTGCCCATGGTGATAGGCGCAATCGATGGTACACACATTCAGATACGAGGGATGGATGGCCACAAGGCGGAATACTATACGCGGAAATCACAATATGCGGTTCAGCTACAAATAACGTGTGACGCGCTCGGAAGGATTTGGGACTACCTAATCGGCTTTCCAGGCACCGCACATGACCAACGAGTTTTCGTACAATCTAGCCTACACAAGCGTCTAGAAAACGGAGACATCACCCCGTACCAGCTCGTGGGTGATGCGGCCTACCCGCTTCGCAGCTACTGCCTCACCCCGTTGCATGCTCCAACCGGCCGCCTGATGCTCGAGTGGCAGCAGACTTTTAACTACTGCCAGTCGGCCACGCGGATGTCGGTTGAGCGAACCATCGGCCAGTTCAAGGGCCGTTATCGCCTCTTCGCCGGCCGTCACGAGTGTGCTTTATGGCGCGTCCTAGCCGGGGCGAGTTGCGTGGTCATCCTGCACAACATGGGCATAGATATGGCCGGGGCAAGGATGAAAAATCCGAACCACAAATGGGCCGCAATCTCGCTCAACCAAGACCCTTGGTGGACCAGGGGCGAACTCGCGACATATAACTGGAACGAGGATCTCGCAGTGACAAAAGAGGGCGTGAAAGAGCGACGGAAGCGGTTCGGGCTTGCTCTTCACGACGCATACCTTAAGCGACGTCGCCGCGGCGATGCTGTCAGAATGTGATGTTTGTGTAGCCTGCAGTGGGGTACTCTGTAGCGAGTACAGCCCGAATTAGGGTTTGCTATATGTACTCAACTGCATGCTAGTGAAAATCCCTCTTTCGTGTTTATCGTTTTAGCCTGCTGTTTCGACAGATGCCACACCTCCACATCGTCGCTAAGGCCGGCGTCGTCGTGGCCATCGCCGTCGCTCTGCCAGTTTTCTGCCGCGCGGTTGCTGCCGAAATTGAGTGGACGGCTGGTCTGGGATTGTTGCGAAGCCATCCACTCGCGGATGACTCCAGTGATCTGCGCCACGCCTTCGCTTGAGCATTGTTTGAAGGTGTCTGCAAGCAGTTGAGCGGCTGCCATCGTCGCCGTTTCGTTGATGCGTCTACGTGCGCTGGGTGGAGTGCCGCGGCCTGTGGGGAATGAGTGGATGGGCCAGGGTTGTTAGGCGTACTTGCATGTCATTTCCATTGGAACATTAAGCCGTACTACATTTGTGATGTGTGGCACGATTCTTTGTTAACAAGGCGCGGAATGTAAGATATCAAAATGCGAGACATGAAACTTACCAATGCTTGCCGTCGGTTCTTTGTTACTGGCCTTCGGGACCTGCAGGGCCGGATCGACGGTGACGTCTTGCGCACCGCCACCATCCAGAGCGTGGGGCTCTGCAGCTGCGGTATCCTCGTAGAACAAAACCATCCACTGCCACCATCGCGGTTTTATCACGGTCGCGCCACCGCTGGCCGTATCTCCCCGCTCGATCTGCTTCCAGAGCGCCTTGAGTCGCTTCCACTGGTTGCCGCATGCGGTTGCGTTGCGGCACCAGTCCGGATGCTGCAGCTTGATGTGTTCGATCAAGCGCAGCCAATATTGTGAGCCTTGTTTCCCCGTCATCTGCGTCAGCTCATCCTTTGTAAACCATCGCGCCGCCACCAGAATGGTCGATTCTTTCTCTGACCAGTCCGAGGCAGGACCTTTGCTCAGGCAGGCGTCGACTGACGCCTCGCTACGGTCCTTCGCCTCAGCACGTGCCTTACCTTTAACCGAAGCCGTCTTGCTGGATTTGGATGTTCCTTTCTTACGACCCACGGTTGAAGCAGCGGCGGGCTCATCTGCGGGTCCGTTGTATTCGGCGTTGCCGCACCACTGCGCCACAGGATCGTCGCCGTCTGACGCGGCGTCCTCCTCGTCGTCGTCAGTGTCTTTGTCGACCTCGTCCTCCTCGGTGTCGTAGTCGGTATTGACCCCGGCAGTACTCGGACCGGCGGTGGGAGGCGGAGTGATAGTAGACTGCGCGGGCGTTTGTCCAATGTTGCGAAGAGGTCTATGCGTAGGTCTCCCTGCAGCCAGCTCCGCCGTCATCCACTTGATATAGGCAAGATCTTCTGCCTGCCATGGAGCTTCATTTGTTGCACCAGTTTGAGATTTACGCTTGCGGGCCATGATAGCTGCTCGTACGATGTGTGTGAACATACAAAGGCCTTTTGACTACATTTGTATGCAAGGTTGGGTTGTCTTGGCGTGGCATAGGTTCGGATATGGCAACCGAGCCTGTGTCTCGGGTTCGCTCAAAGTGCGGGGGTGGTGTTTTTGCCGCGTGGCTCCTACTGGTGTCACGATCCTTGTTTGTGGAAAGTCTGCACGTTTGTGCGCAGCGCACCAATGCCACGTTACGAAACCGAGCAGGGATGACTGTCGGCCGCAAACACAGGGCAAACGGCTGCTCGTCAAAGGGAACCGTGCCCGGGAATTCTCCACGTTCGAGCGACCTCGCGCGAGCGATATGATTGGTGCGCTGATTCGATACAATCCTGATACGAGGTGTTTTATAACGTGAAGTTTGAGATTTTTCATTACTGATATGAGGTTACCCCGTAGGAACACGCTCTAAGACCCCCCTCCCCTCTGATGGCAGTGCTACTGGGAGTTCGGTTACTGTATTTATTAACAGTTATTCCCAACTGCCACGTGCCAGGTAGTTTGACTTCCTACCTGCTTTGCACTGCCAGCTTTTGCAAATAATTCCTTTGCCAAAGTCCTTTGTCTAATTTAATAATCTATGTTGTCAACTCCACTGTTTCTTCAGCAAAATCATGCCAAGATGCCTAACAACAAGGACAACCAAGAGAGTCTAAACGTTTGTTTTCGATTTCCTTAGTTTTCACTTTTGTTTACCGTACGTGGTGTACACGCGTGCTCGCTATACGCACAACCTCGATACCCACCACATCGGAGTTCCTCCTCGCCCCAGCAAATCCATTCGCTGCGCTACGATTGCTTCCATTGCTCCACCCTTACGCTGCGCCATCTGCCGCCGTCATCTGCGGTCAGCATGGAATCGTTATCGTGCCCTCGCTTACCGTTGCCTCGTTCCCTGCTACGCACTAATGGCTCCGCGCCTTCAGCCGTGCTCGCTAGTAATTCTTCCGCTCCGCCCTCCTGCGGCTTCCGCGCTCACTCTTTGCCCCCATCCGCGCAACCCTTGAGCCTTCCCCCCTCTCACGCGCTCGCCTCCCCTTTCGCGGAACCCCCGCTTGGCCCCGCTCTCGCCTCCGCTCGTCCTTCCGCTTCCCCCTGCCCTGTCCGCCACCCCCGCGCTCACCGCCCCGCCGCGCATCGTTTCGCGCAGGGCGGCGCGGAAGCAGCCGCCTCCCCCGATGCCTGCGCCCCTGCGCCGGCTCCGCGGGCGCAAGGCGCGGAAGTATCCGCTGGCGCAAAGTGGGGGAAGCGGCGGGGAGTGGCGGCGGGAGCGGGGCCGACGAGAATGGAGATGTGGCGAGGGGGCGCGGGGGAGGGAAGAGGCCGCGCGGAAAGCGCACGAGAGGAAAGAGCTGGAGAAATAGAAAGAGGCGGGAGAGGCGGGAGACGGGAGGGAGGGGAGCGATGGGAGAGAAGGGAGCAACGGGGTGCGTCGGAAAGGGGCTGGAGTGGGCATGACGGGTCGAAGAATGGAGAGAGCCGTTGGATCGGATCGGATCAACGAAGTGGATCAAGTCGGTCTAGAGATGTCGCTTCGTACGGGAGCTGGTCCGGCGACGACCGTGAGATTTCGCGCCATCGTTCGCCGCCAGTCGCAGGAGAGTCGCAGCCGCTTCAATCGCGGGCGACGGTCGTCGCAGCAGCAGTCGCAGAACCAGTCGCAGAGCCAGTCGCGTACGAGCCGCAGCTGGGCGACCGCGTGATCGGCGTCGTAACGGGCGTGGCGGGCGACGGCGGGCTGGACATCGACATCGGCGCGCGGCTGCTGGCCCGCGTGCCCGCGCGCGACGCCGTGGCGCTGTGCGCGCTAACCGCGGCAGGGGGAGGCGGAGGGGGCGGCGGCACAGAGGACTACGATTGGCTGGTGCGTGGAGGGATGGGGAAGGAGGATCGGGGGGTGATGGACACAGAACCGGAGGGAATGGGAGTGACCGCCGGCCTGGGAGATAAGCTCTCGTTCCTTTTGTGAGGAATGAGAAGTCGAGAGTATGGAAGGGGGAGAGGCTGGCAGTTGGAGACGTGGATGCGATTTGGTTGGTTAAACCCCGCAGAAGCCCTGAACCCTAGCAAAAGCATACCGGTACACCCATACTATATAATGACCGCGCAAATCGCCATCCCTTCCCACAAGCCCGTCCTTCCTGATCAAGCCATGTCCTTTTCTCGAGTGTGCTCCAGTCTCAGTACCTCTAGGCTCTCGCAGCGCCCAGATGAGAACACGTGAGAGTTGCAGGGATAGCTCCCGAGTGATACTGCCATGCCATGCCATGCCATGCCATGCCAATGGGTCCGCCAGCAGCAATGGGTCTCGTGGTGCGACCATGTGAACCCTCCTCCCTGCCGCCCCTCCCCGCCTGCCCTCCCTGTCTCCCCTCGCTGCTCCCTTTCTCCCCATCGTCATACAATTCCACTGCTTTCCCTTCATATCCCTCGTCTCATGCTCGTCCCCCCCTTTTTCCCTCCACCTCCTCCTCTTTCCCCCTTCTCACCCCTTCCTCCCACCCTCGGTTCGCTCCACCACCCTACCCCTCCTCCACCCCCTTGTTCCCTGCCCTCATACCCGGTCCGTTCATACCCATTCCCTCTCCCCCGCCCTGCGTGCACCGTCCCCTCTGCAGGTGATCCCCCGGCCAAGCCCGCACACCACCACTGCAACCGCAGGCGGCACTCACAGCACTGACGCCGCTGCTGCTGATGACACTGCTGCTGCTGCTGCTGCTGCTGCTGCTGCATCAGATTCAACCCATGATACTGATACTGACGCCCATGCTTTTACGGATACAGACACCGATACAAATACTGATACAGATACAGATGCTGATTCTGATTCTGATGCTGATGCTGATGATGCAGAGGAAGAAAATGAAGCTCCCTCTGCCTCCTCCCCCTTTCCTTTCCGCGCGCCCTTTGGCGAGTTCAGGCTGGTGCGGGGGGCGCTGGGGGAAGCGGGGGGCGCGCTGGAGGGGGATTGGGGGAGGGCTGGCGCGGAAGGGGGAGAGGAAGGCGGGTGGGAGGAGGGAGCGGTGGTGGAGGGGGTGGTGGTGGGGGAGACGGTGACAGGACGGCCGTTGGTGTCGGTGCGCGTGCGAGCCATGCACGTGGCCTGGCAGCGATGCCGGCAGGTGGGAGAGTGTGATGTGGGGTGTGCGATATGGGGGCTGCGATGTGTAGGGTGGGAAAGACAGGGAAGCGAAGGAGAAGGGGAGGATGCGTGTTTGATTTGTGTGTAACCTGGTCCTGATCCTTTCTGCACCTCTCCCACTCCACCTCCCGTGCGCCCCTTCAACAACATCTCGTTTCCAACAAACTCTGTCTTTTTCCTCCCTTCTGCTTCTCACCTCCCCTACCCCCCCCCCCCCCCCATCGCCTTCCACCCACGTTCACACCTCCACTCCTCCGGTCGATCCAAGCCCATCCCGTGCCCTCTTCGTCCCTGCCGTCGCTGCCGCTCCCTGCCGCTCCTGTGACCTGCTGTGGGCCCTAAACTCTGTCCTGGGCCCAACCGAAGACCAAGTGGTTGTGTTCCCGTCCCGCTCCTCCCGTGTGTGCGCCCCTCGCCCCGCGCCCCTCGCCCCGCGCCCCTCGCCTGTCTCGATGTGTCGTGCAGATACAGCGAGAGGGCGAGCCTATCCGCGTCACCATCACCACCTGCAACGTGGGCGGCCTTGAGGCACGCATTGAGGTGCGCCGCCGGGTGGCTCGTGCTGACTGGCAGCGGAGGGAGGAGTGATGGAGAGGAGAGGGGCGCAGGAAAGCGGTGGAAAAGAAGGGGGGAGGTTTAAGAGGGGAGGATTGGTGGGTGGGTGGATGGCGAGGGTGAGAGGAGGGATAAGTTGCATTGCAGCAGGTTAAGCGTTCATGAGTTACCATGCATGGTTCATGATGTGACGGACTCAGTGCTAACCTGTCCGCGTTCCCTTTGTGCTGATCACTGACCAATCTACCACCAATTGACCACCAACCTGTGACCAACCAACGACCACCTTTCTTTCTCCTCCTTTCCCCTCCCCCCTCCGCACTTGGTCCTCCCCTGTGCTGTGCGTCCCCACTGCCCTGCCCTGCGTGTCACAGGGGCTGAGGGCGTTCCTGCCGCTGCCGTACCTGCTTTTTGAGTCGACTCAAAAGTCAACTCCCCACATTGGTCCTCCCCTGTGTGTCCGCTCCGCTGCCCTGCCCTGCGTGTCACAGGGGCTGAGGGCGTTCCTACCGCTGCCCTACCTGCTCAACAACCCAGACGGCACCCGCCCTGACCTCAACTACCTCGTACGTTTTGCCTCTTCGCCTGCCTGCCTGCCTGCCTCTTCGCACTCACCTTGCTCTTGCTTTTTGCATGCCCTGGGAATCGGAGTTCACCTTGCTGTGCACTGCCCGTTCCATGCATGCTTGCTGCTCTACCTCTCCCCTCCTCCCTCCCATTCCCTCCCTCCCTCCCTCTGTCCCGTCTCTTCTCCTTCCATCCTCCCTCTCCCTCCCTCCTTCCCCCCCTCTCCCCATCCCTCCATCCCTCTCCCCATCCCGCCCTCCCCTCCGCCTCCCTCCTCCCCCTGTGCCACCAGGTGGGGAGGCGGCTGTGGGTGATGCTGGAGGAGGTGGAGCAGCGAGCAAGCCGGCTCATTCTCAGTGAAGTGGCCGCCATGGAGTACGAGGTGAGGGGGGGAAGGGACGAGACGAGCCATGCAGTATGGAGCATGAGGTTCGGGCTTTTGAGGCGACACTGACAAAGAAAACAAACAAGCAAGCAACCAAAACCGGTTGAGAGACTACTCTTGAAGTGCCCGCCATTTGAGTCGCATGAGCCATGAACCGCAAACCACGAACCACGGACCATAGACCACGGACCATAGACCACGGACCATAGACCACGGACCATAGACCACGGACCACACCTGAGTTGATTTTGAGTCGCATGTGCGAGATGTCACGGGAAAAACCTGTGCCTCTTTTCCATCTTGTTCTCGCCATGCACCACCACCTTCCTCATGCTCCATTCACCCCCTCGCACACCTCCCTCTCCCTCTCCCTCTCCCTCTCCCTCTCCCTCTCCCTCTCCCTCTCCCTCGCCCCGCCCCGCCCCGCCCCGCCCCGCCTGATCTCACCTCGCCACCCTGCATGGCAGGTGGCGCGCTCGCTGCAGCGGGGGCGGGTGGTGCGGGGCACGGTGTGTCGCATCACCCCGCACGGCGTCATGGTGCTCATAGACCACATTGCCAAGCGGTGCGTGCTCTCTTAACCTTCCCACACGTGGATGGCAGTGGGGGATGAATGGAGGTGAGGCTATGAAGGGATGATACGGTGTGTCGCATCACCCCGCACGTCGTCATGGTGCTCATAGACCACATAGCCAAGCGGTGCGTTCTCTCTTGCAAGCGCTGGGTGGGTACTGTGAACATGCATGCAGGGTTGTGGGGGTATGCAGGGCAGTACACGTCCAATCAACCCACACGGCGTCATGGTCCTTATAGACCACATTGCCAAGCGGTGGGTGCTGAGGCAAGCGGTGGGTACTGTGAACACGCATGCAGGGCGGTGGGGTTATGCAGGGTTCTGGGGGTAAACAGGCCAGTTCACGTCCCCTCCCCCTCCACTGCCCCAGTCTCCCTCTCAAACCCCTCCACCACTTCACCAGCCCCTCCACCGCGCCCCACCCTTTCAAACGCTGCATTACGGTGTGGGTCGACCATGTTGATTGGGTTGCTGCGTGGTTCCCTTTCACGCTCTGGCACGCGATGTTCTCGCTACAGCTCCCACCACCACCACCACCACCACCGCCGCCGCCGCCGCCGCCACCACCACCACCACCACCACCACCACATCTCTCTTTAAGTCTGTTCCTCCATGTTACAATTACAGTCTCCCTTCCCCATGTGCTCCCAACCCATGCACCACTCACAAACCACCCACACCAAACACAGCCCACCCCACACTCCACACTCCACTGCAGTGCACTGCCACACATGCCCAACATCTCGCATTGACTGTCGAGTTGACTAAAAATTCAACGTCCAATGTCTCCTGTTGACTATAAAATCAACGTTAAGGTCACCTCGCCCACCCCACCGCACCCCACCCCACCGCAGTGCACTGCTGCACGTGTCCAACATCTCGCGCGTGCGAGTGCCGGAAGCAGCAGACGTGTTCAGCGTGGACGAGCCCCTCACTGCCCTCGTCATCCGCAACGACAGCCGAGGCGTCGCCCTCAGGTCCGCTCTGCTCTGCTCTTCACGCCTTGAGCCTGTGCTGTGTGGTGTGGGGGAGGTGGGTTGTGCGTTGTGGGGTGTGGGGTGACTTGTGAGGCGCCGCAGCAGACGTGTTCAGCTTGGGCGAGCCACTCACGGCCCTGGTTATCCGCAACGACAGCCGAGGCGTCGCCCTCAGGTCCGCTCTGCTCTGCTGCCCTGCTGTTTGCGGTGTCTGTGTGGTTGTGGGGTGTGGAATGTGTGGTGTGTGTGTGCAGTGTGTGTGTGTGTGTGTGTTTGTGTGTGTGTGTTCTGTGTGTGTGTGTTCTCTGTGTGTGTGTGTGTGTGTGTGTGTGTGTTTGTGTGTGTGTGTGTGTGTGTGTGTGTGTGTGTGCGTGTGTGTGTGTGTGTGTGTGTGTGTGTGTTACATATACCTATCTTCTCCCCATTTCCCGTTACCCAGTTTTCCATCCTCACCTCTCCCTTCCCATGGCGCTGTCAACTCGACCTATCCCGCTTTCCCAATCATCAACTCTATCCATCCCACTCTCTCCACCTTCCCAGGCATTCCCTGCTCTCTCGCTCGCTCACATCTCGGTCCTCTTAGCTGCTCCCCTCTCTCCTCTCTCCTCCGCTTTCTCCGTTCTCCTCCACTCTCCCCCCCTTTCCTCCCCCATTCTCCCCTCTCCTCCGCTCGCACCCCTCTCCTCCCATCGCTCCCCTCTCCTCCCCTCGCGCCTCCCTCCCCATGCCTCATCTCTCTCCGCTCCCTCCCCTCCCTCCCGTTCTCTCCCCTGTCGCCCCTCTCTCCCGCGGCCTACCTACCATCGCATGGCAGCACGAGGGAGTTAGAGCCAGTGGATGGGCTCATGCTCACAGACAAGCAGGTGCGTGCGGGGGTGCTTGCATGGGGGCTCCATATGGGGTTGGGGTTGTGGCTCCGTGCCTGGGGAGTGTGGGGGAGTGGAGTGGGGGTCCGTTCCTGGATATGGGGGACGATGCAGTGGGTGTGGTGGAGTTAGAGCCAGTGGATGGGCTCATGCTCACAGACAAGCAGGTGCGTGCGGGGGTGCTTGCATGCGTGGGGGGTTTTGTGCGGGGTTGGAGTTTGGGCTTCACGCGTGGGGAGTGTGGGGGAGTGGAGTGGGGGCCCGTGCCTGGATCTGGGTGACGCTGCCGTGGATGTGGAGTTAGATATGGTATGGTCCATGCATGGGGTTTGGCGGCCATGCCAGTTCGGAGCAGAATGGTGCAGTGCAGTGCAGTGCAGTGCAGTGGAGTGGAGTTGAGGTGTGTAGATTCCATTCCGCCACGCAGCATCTCTTCCCTCTGCCATTACAACCTCTGCGCTTCTTATTGCCACGAGTCAGGGGCAATGAACCTATAACAAGGGGTGCACTGTCAACGGTGCCGACACCAATGTTCCCCTCTCTCCCGCCCTTCCCCTCCCCTCCCCTCCCCTCCCCTCCCCTCCCCTCCCCTCCCCTCCCCTCCCCTCCCCTCCCCTCCCCTCCCCTCCCCTCCCCTCCCCTCCCCTCCCCTCCCCTCCCCTCCCCTCCCCTCTCCATCCCCCCCCCTCCCCTCCCTCCTCCCCCAGGCTGTGTACGAGGCAGCAGAGGAGATGGCACGGCGCTACCGCCGGGACATGGAGGAAGAGGAGGAGGAGGAGGAGGAGGAGGAGGAGGAAGGAGACCAAGGGGAGGGTGCAGTACAGGCGAGTTGGAGAGGAGAAGAGGGTGGGGGTAGGGAGAGGAAGAGTGGTGGTGCTGGCAGTAAACCACAAGGTGGCAGGGGATCGTCTTTTGAGACCGATGCAGTGCAACATGAGAAGAGCACTCCAGAGTTCGCCAACAGTGGTTGGGTACGGTTTGAGCTGTCATAATCTCGTTCTGTGCATGGTGGTGGTACTAGAAAGCTATGTTTCCACAATTGTATATTCATTCTTCCCATGTCTCAGACTGAAAGCTAGGATATATCCTATACAATACGGCTTGATATACCACTTCTTTTCCCTGTGATATGCTGTAATCACTGATACCACTTCTTATCTTGTGAGGGAATGTTACGGTATGGAACGGCATTGTAATCTGTTGTGCTATGAGTCACCAGTATGGCATCTCCCTTCATGATGGAGGTTCTGTCTTCAGAGGCCTGCAGGCAGACTCAGCAGGCTCCCTGGCAGAGCCTGCAGGTGCTGCTCTCTCACTGCTACGGGTATTGCTCGATAAAGTGCAGGTACCCTATCGTACCAGTAATCATGGACGCCGGAAACAACGCACTCGTGAGTGAGCCGTGAGTGTAGACAGGGAGCGAGACCAAAGAAGGACCGTGTATCAAATAGCACTGGAGGAGTATGGCGCACATACAGTGCTACACATCAGCGGATCTAAAAGAGATCTGTTGTTCGAGTGCCTGCCTGCCCTATCGTTGGGCAAGAGTCATCACCCACCTCATCACCCCAGCGGTAGGCACTCCAACAACAGACCCCTATAGAGGGTCATAGAAAGACTGCTAACTAGCTTTCCTCCCTCCTTCCGATCACCCCCTTTCGTTGTTACATCCACCACTTTCCCTAAGCATCTCAAACGGTACTCTCACAGCCTGCAGCTGAACCACGCGACCTCTCCCGTTACGCTAACATTCATACCCATTTACCCATTTATATCCCCGACCGCCTCTACTTCCTTCCTTCTTCACACTCCATTGGCCCTCCCACTCCTTGAACTCTTCACTTTCTCAGCCCGAACCCCCAATCCTCCTCCTTCACACATTCCTCCTGGCACTCCCACGCCCACTCCCTTCAATCTTTAGTTCCTGAGGCCGAACGCCCATCCTTTGGGCGCCTTCTGGAACTGCCCCCTAGCAGCACCCGCCTCAAACCCGGGGGAAGCGACGAGAGCATAGAAGGCGGTGGGCTGCGCCACAACCGCCAGCGCCACGTCCTTCACCGTCTGCACGCCGTCAGCAGCAGCCACGGTGGCGGCGGCGCGCCACACGGCCGTGAGAGTGAAGGTGTGCAGCCCTGCCGTGCGCGCAGAGCGCCCCACTGCGCGCTGCAGGCGGCCCCACGCGCGCCCCATGGGGCCGCTGCCAGGGGAGGCCGAGGCCGCGCTGGTCCACGCAGGGGGGGACGCGCCGTCCGCGCCCGTGGCCGTGGAAAAGTCCAGCAGAGTCGCGCCGGTGGTGGCAGCGCTGCCGCTGTTGAGAGTGAGCGCCGTGGGGGCGGCGTCAGTCGAGAGGGAGATGCGCGCCGTGAAGGCCACGTCGTAGTCCGTGCCGTTCCTGCCCACCGACACAAAGGGCAGATGGAGGAGGGGGAAGGGGGGAAGGATAGTGGGGGAGGGGACGCTATGAGCGAGGCAGACAGGGGGAGACAGCGGCGGAAAAGGAGAATCTTTCCTATTTTTTCAAAGCATTCAAAATCGCCGCGTTCAAAAATAGCTTTTTTTGTGATGGTGCAAACACGGGAGGAGGGTGATTTCAAGCACTCACGGGAGGAGGGTGATTTCAAGCACTCACGGGAGGAGGGTGATTTCAAGCACTCACGGGAGGAGGGTGATTTCATGCACTCACGGGAGGAGGGTAATTTCAAGCACTCACGGGAGGAGGGTGATTCTAAGCACTCACGGGAGGAGGGTGATTTTAAGCACTCACGGGAGGAGGGTGATTTCGAGGACGCCAGTGGCGTTGGCATCGCCAGGGGCTGTCAGCGCATCAGCCGCCACACTGCTGCCCCTCAGCTGCGCCAACACACCACCCGCGCTCTTCCCGCCCTTCCCGCCCTTCCCCAAACCAAGCCCCCTCCCCTGCCCCTGCCCCTTCCCCTTGCCGTTGCCTGCCCCCTGCTGATTCACCCGGTTCGACGTTGCTACGGCGGCCAGGCTTCGGGCCATCCTGCCCCTCCCCTTGCCCTTCCCGTTGCCCCCTTTCCGCCCGAATATGCCCCCCAGGTCGCCCGGAACGGTGTCGTTGCCGAAGAGTTTGGTGATTCCAGAGAATATTCCGCCCGCCCCCCATCCGCCGGTGAAATTTCCGCCCGTGAGTCTGCCGAGAATGCCGCCGCCGTTTCCGTTTCCGTTTCCGTTTCCGTTTCCGTTTCCGCCGTGGCCGTGGCTCCCGGGATCAGCTAGTGCACCTGAGATCGCGATAAATTGCAAGTTTTAGCGTGAAACTTACAATGGAGGTAGAAACGCGGAAGATGGAGTATTTGGAAGAGAATGTGCTTCGGAATTGAATGGCGACCTCACAGGACATAGGAGAGAAGCGACCTTACTTGATGAGGTGAGTGCAACAACCAGGAGCATCGCAAGGACAACCTTCGGTAGCGCCATGAAAGCTGATACGGGTGGAGCTAATAAGAAATGGGATGGCCAAGTGGATTATACGTCTACTTACTATACTCGTCAATTAGCTGTGATGAAAGTTACAACTATTTGAGGAGTTTATATCCAAGTTGGATCGCAGTTTTGCAGGAGGGAGCTGCATGAGTCACGACGACACGACACGACGAATACGAGGGACGTGGGTGGGGTGGAGTGGGGTGGAATGTGGTGGGAAACGAGGACGGCGCAAGGGGGCATGGCATGTTCAGGAAATGCGTCGGACCGCCAACGCATTGACTGGTTGGAAATTGGATCCACCAGCAATTGGTTACGCACGCGACACGGAATTTTCAGCTGCGTCGCCCGTGACGTGACTTCATGGCACGCAACCACCCAACCAGTTTCGAGATGTGACGGTGCTAGGACTTCAAATACGGTGTAGCTTCCAGTCAACAAGCTCCACGTCAGACCACCGTGTTCGGCACCGATTTGAGCACTCGCGCTTATGAGAACGGGTTCGTCGGTGGATTCCGGGTCGGTTGGAAACGAGCTGCATGCGAAGGCTTGCGAATTGGGTGTGAGAAACATGTTGAATTTTCGTTGCCTCGTTTTGTTTATAGTGTGTCAGGGTAATTTTTTTAGATGCTCTACTGTATTTTCTTCTCATGATATGTGCCATCTTGTTGTTGGCATTCTCTACTAATCATAGACTCCATACGATGCAACCAATACACACTTGACAGCACACGAGAACTAATTCACACCAGATAGCATGATCCGCTACCCAATTCAACCCATAGTGTTTCGTACCTAGCCCCTCATTTGTATCGCATACGCATAGTCGCTATTCCTCACTATCTTCGGTTACATATTATAACTGTTAGCAACTCTGTTGTTACCAAGAACGTTTATGTTTCTGGATGTTGTTGCTCTTTGCCACCCAAGGCTCCAAACGATGCGATGCGTAGCCTACATCAGGTGCATCCTGCAGCCATTTTCTCGCATCCGCCCGTCCCCCGTCCAACAGGGCAGACCTCAAGATAAACCAGGAGCATGATTCACGGGAGGGCCCAATGCCCTGAGACTGAGGCAAAGGGTTCTCAGCCAGCCAGGACTAGAGGCAATTCCGGAATGCGATCGGCGATAGTCTAGAGATTGCATGACACTTGCGTTCTCACGACACACTCGCTCTCTTCAGCTCGAACCTGGGCTCTTTCTGTCGCTGCGGCGTGTCGCAGCCATGGATTCTCATCGCTATAGAGCGGCGCACGTTTCCGTGTGGCTCGTCCTAGTGAGCGCGGCCATTCAAGGCCCTCTTTTCGGGGTGCGCGTCACGGCGTGGTACATTCCGCCGCCCGGCACGTCCTTCTACTGGCAGCTCTCCAGCGCGCAGCCAGGTTCGTTCTCCATCGTCGTTCATCGCATAGTATCGTCAGATCGGCTCGCCGCGCGGCGAAAAGCCTGGTGGAATCGTCGCATTGGGTCGACGCCGGTTCGTCGCATGCTTGTCGTAAACACGCGAGGTCGCGTGGGCCAAGCATTCTCGTACCGCTGCTGGTTTCCTCTTCTCAGTCCGTAGGTAACCGCGTTTCAAGCCAACAATTTCTAGTACCTTGTGCGATAGTTCAGACTCTGTGGTTCGAGTGTCGCCCCCTCTCAAAGGTCCCCGCGCGGAGCGGCTCGACTCGGCGTGCGGCCCTTCCGGCTTCTTCCACCCCGCAGGCCACGGCGACGCGTGCATGGGCGCACCGATGCGCGACGGTCTTTTGAGGCGCCTCATAAGTTCCTCCGCCCCGCAAGCCACGACGACGACGCGTTCATGGGCGCACCGATGCGCGGCGGTCGACTCGACCGTCGGACGGCGTGGACTTTCCCCTGTCCGGCTAGCCGAGCTCTCCCCTGTTTCGCCGCTGATCCGCGGATGCGCGACCTGGTCGCGTGTGTGACCGCGTAGATGCGCAACGGAGCGACGGAGCGACGGAGAGAGCTCGTCGCGCAACAAAAATCTCGAGAATTCTCAAAGTTCACTGCCACTGATTAGGCCTTTTGGATTCATCATGGCGCGCCGCTCGTACTTTCGATTCGACCAACCCCGCCGCAGGCATGGTGGACACGACCGTGAACGCGCAGGTGTACGACATCGACGGCTTCGCCACGCCCGCGGCGACGATCCGACGGCTGCAGGCGGCGGGGCGCAAGGTGATCTGCTACTTCAGCTTCGGATCCGCCGAGGACTACCGCGCCGACTACTCCCAGTTCCCGCGCTCCACGCTCGGTGGCCTCGTGTGTAACGTGAGTTCCGCGTGGGACGCGAGGGGGACGCGAGGGGGATGTGAGTGGGTCGCGGGGGGGACGCGGGGGGGGCGCGGAGGGGATGTGAGTGGGACGCGAGTGGGACGCGAGGGGGATGCGAGTGGGACGACGTAATTGCAGCAAGTAATGGCAACGCACTTCTCGCTGCAATTACGTGACGTTGCTGTAGCTCATGTGTGTGCTGCTGCGGCAAGGAAGGCTTTCGACTTAGCTCTTTCACCATCTCGCTCATCTGCGCTGCGCTTCGCCTCTCAAACACCCCCACATCAAAAGCTCCCATCTTCCCATACCCTCTTTCCCCCCTCTCCCTCCCCTCTCCCCTCCTCCCCTGCCTTCCTTTGCCCTACTCTTTCTTGATGGACCTTTGTTCACAAGCCACTCCCTGCTTTCTTGATTCATTTTTGCGTTTCCATTGTGCCAGGCGCGTCGTCTCTCTACAATCCCCTGATGCATCTTCTCCCTGTTACACCCCCCAATACTCCGCTTTCCCCTCTCTCCCCCCATCAACTGTGTCATTCATTCGTGCTCCCCCGTGCAAACCCCTGTGCCCTCTGCCTGTTCCGCCAATCAGAGCGACGACTGTTCCGAGGTGTGGGAGGGCGAGCGGTGGCTGGATGTGCGCAGCAACGTGGTGCGGAGTGTACTGGAGAAGCGCGTTCAGGTACAGTACATATGAGAATGAAATGTGCTGCACTGTGCTGTGCGCACACACTACAGATGTTTATTCTACTAAAACTCTTTCCTCTTATTGTGTTCAAACGCCCACTGGGTGCATAGAAGCCGCATAACCTCTTGGCGACGTTCCCATACACGTCGCCCTCGCCACTTCCCAATCATCTCTCGCTGCCTCTGTATTTCTCTTCTCCTTGACCTCCATCCGTGACGATTTACCATCCAAAGCCCCTCCTTCATGCAAGCAGCAGGGGCAACAGTACGGGGTTCTGAAGCGCAAGGAGTGTGAGGAGCATGGCACCAGACAACCAGGGTGCAGCGCATCACCCAACTCAATAAGCCCAGACGAGACTTCCATGGCTGCAGCACCACCAACGCCACTGCCACTGCCATCGCCAAATCATTGCTGTTCGTGATGGCCGCTTTTCTTGCAATGCCACCCCCTTCTTCCCCTCCCCTTTGACGTGTGATTCCCCCAGCTGGCGAAGCGCAAGGGGTGTGACGGCATAGAGCCGGACAACGTGGACGCGTGGAGCAACAACATCATGTACAAGACCATCAGCCACTTCAAGATCACTGCTGCTGACCAGGCCAACTTCAACCTCTGGATCGCCCGCACTGTGCACAAGTATGTGTTCATGCTGCTATCCAGCACGCATGCACCGTGCACAGGTGCAGTCATGCTGACACATGAGGAGTCACGCTGCTGACCAGGCCAACTTCAACCTCTGGATCGCCCGCACCGTGCACAAGTATGTGTGTCCGCACGCTCACTCACACATGAGTAAGTAGCCACGTTGCTATCCATTCAGCGTGACTGGGAAACTTAGACAACCACTTGTCCAGCGCTCATGACAGTCTTTTGCAGTGTCGAGTTGTCTATATCGGCAGTGTGTGTGGCACGAGTAGTCCACGTCCACGGACCACTGACACGATTTTTGAGGCGCCTCAAAAGTTTTCTATACCGGCAGTGTGACACACGAGTAGTCCACGTCTAGGGGCCACTGACCCCGAGTCAGGACGTCAATCCACCTGAAGTTGGTTCCATCTCGCCACTCCTGCCCATCAAAGTCGTCACACGTAAACCCCCCACCCCCATCCACACTCGCCGGTACAGCATGCTGCTGGGTTCACCCCGAACTCATCCATTCTTCCCCACCGCATCCCACCGCTTCATACGGCCTGTCACCCCCACCTACCACCCGCACCACCCCATCCCCGCTCGCAGGTACGGCATGTCAGTGGGCCTCAAGAACCCCGGGCCCCTGCTGCCGTCCCAGATGGCAGCAGCGTTTGACTGGGCGCTGGTGGAGCAGTGCAACGAGTACAGCGTATGGGGCGGTGGAGGCGCATGGTACAGCGGCAGGTACGTACGTACGTACGTACGGCTGCAATGCAACTATACCATGCCAACCAGTTCATTCATCGTGTGCACCATGTGGCGTGTTTTCTGGCTGAGTACACCGATGCACCGCATTCCACCGCTTCATGCCGCCTGCCTGCCACCCCGACCCCTACCCCATCCGCTCTGGCAGGTACGGGTGCGATTACGCGAACGAGTTCATCGTGCGCAGCAAGGCCGTGTTCATCGCCGAGTATACCGACTCCTGGGGGACAGCCGCGGGGCGCAAGAACGGCATCCAGTTCCCCCAGGTGTGTGTGGGGCTGTGAATGGTAGTATGAGTGGGTGGGCTGGTTGGGTGGAAAGGGGGATGGTCGCTGTGGAGTGCACTGGTGCCTGCGGGACAGTGGCGGGGCGCAAGAACGGCATCCAGTTCCCCCAGGTCTGTGTGGTGCTGCCAATGGTAGTATGAGTGGGTGGGCTGGTTGGCGTTGATAACTGTGGAGTGCACTGATGCCTGGGGGGCAGCAGTGGGGTGCACGCAAGAATGGGATCCAATTTTCCCAGGTAAGGTGTGTGTGGTGCTTTCAGTGGTGGTATGAGAGGATGTGTTGGTTGGACAGTGAGGGGGTTGGTAAGAATGGAGTGTACTGGGAACCGCAGCGGGGCGCAGCGCAGGAACGGAATTCAGTTTCCCCAGGTAAGGTGTGTGAGTGGTGTGGTGCTGTTGGTGGTGGTATGAGTGGGTGTGAAATGCAGTGCACTGAGGTTTGCTGCGCAAAAGGGGTGGATTTTGGTTTTTCGGGGGGAGGGGGGGGGCGGAGAGTTGGATTCAACTCCCTTGGGTGTATTTTGCATACCAGCTCATGTGCTTTCTGAATTGGTTCACAGAAACGCTTATAAATACCAGCTCATGTGCATACCAACTCTCATGCACACCCACTCAACTTCAAACCCACTCTACACTCCATGCTCACCCACTCACATGCCAGCTTAACCTTTTCTTAACTCCTGCTTCCCTTGCTCCTGAATTCCCTGCCACGTGCGTCCCTTCTCCTCCTCTCCCTGCCAAGGCCCTGTGTGCGGACAATGCGCCTCTCTACAGCATGGACCTTGAGCCGGGCTACTGGTACCCCTTCACTCACACCTCACTCCCTTGCTACACGCTTCCCTTGCGACCGTTTCCCCCTCCCGCCAGGCCATGTGTGCGGACAACAACGCACACGGCTTCACGACGCGCCTCTACAGCATGGACCTCGAGCCGGGTTACCGCTACCCCTTTGCTGACTGCCTGCGCCACAAGCCTGCCGGGTGCAACGTGTGGCAGCAGTGCGTGCAGCCCTCTGTGTATAAGACATTCGTGCGCAGCGGTATGAAGCGGTGGGATGCGGTGGGGCAGTGCATGCGCAGCAAGGTGGGGCAGTGCGCGTACAAATGAGTGGAGATGAATCTTCAAAGCATTGGCTCTAACGTGGTGGCGCGTGGCATGTGGTGCATGGCATGTGGCGTGTGGCATGTGGCGCATGGCATGTGGTGCATGGCACATGGCATTTCACTTCATGGCACATGGCACATGTTGCGTGCCATGTATTGGAAGTAGGGGTGGTTTGTGGGAGTATCGTGTTGTGTGTGCACCCTGAACTCTCAATATCCTTTGTGCCAACTGGCGAATATCCATCCCCATAAAACAACTCCGAAAGCAAGTGAACTAAGTACAGTCAACCCACATTTCGACAGTCACAACTGTCATTTTCTCACGGAGGAGGAGGAGGGGCGGGGGAGGGGGGAGTGGGGGAGGATGTGTGAATCTGTCAAATGTTATTATAGGTTCTTAGGTACATTCCGCTCTGGATATGTCCAAATCGAAAGTGTCTGAATCGATTCTACTGCACTGCATCGTACGGTATTACACCAAATTACACCCTAGTTTCAAACATTGTCGAAATTTTCGCGTCTCTGGTTTAGTTCGGTTCGGAGCAGGCCCTCAGATTGGTTTTAGGCAACACTTTCTGGTCAGTGTTGGTACAAAAAAAAAAAACTTTCTCTCAGGGTCCATATGTAAAAACACCCTGGAAAATCAGTGTTGTATCTGGAAAAAAACTTTCTCATCAGTGTTGATAACATTTAAAGCCCGTGTCCCAAATTGCGGGCCGCGCGGGTCAAGTTTTTAAAACTTGACGAAGAGGAGTGTGCAAGTTTTGAAAGTAGCGCACCTGCAATTTGGGACTTTCGAAGTGTGACCCCACCCACCAGGGGGGGATCCGGGGGCTGGCTGGGTTTGGCGAAAAATACGAATTTGACGAAATCTGAAACACTCGCCCAACCCCAAACCAGAAAAGCTCCCTCTCGTCAACTTTTTAAAGGATGAACAATTTGGGCTGCCGGCTTTAACAGGCTGATTGATAAATTGCATGCATCACCTCACCAGATGAGCCAGAAATGACAAGTGAAACGCTTTCCATTATAGTTCAGCAACAAAACACACACACACACACTAATGCCACATCGCTCCCTACCACTAATACCACATCGCATCCTCATCATCACCTCAGGTCAACGCCGCACGCCTGCAAGTGGGACAGCAACAACTGCAACAACGAAGCCGCATCCGCCTTGTCTACTGTCAGGAGCGCCATGAACTCGGTGGCGAGGCGTGAGTTGCGAATGAACGTGACGAACAAGATGAGGTGTTTGCCTCTGCAGCGATCGGTGCTCTCATCGCATGATATGCCAATGTAGGGACTTGCCAGAACCTCCTCGAGCTGTGTTGTCTGCAGCCACGTTGCGATAGACTGAGTCAGCTCCCCGAAGCCATACCTGACAAGTAAACAACAACATGTAGGTTAGCACTGGCCATCACAAGCAGATAAAGGTAATCCAATTTTAAAATAATGACTTACGTGGTGTAGTACGTCCCGTATCCCTTCTTTGGGAATCCGGGGACTCCCTTCTCAGCAAGGTAACGGACCAATCCCACCCACAGCTCCATGGGTGCATCTTGCCTGCTGACAAAGAGTAGAGCGTCCATCAGCGACACCAGTCGGACCTTTTCGCTGTCGTGCGCGAGTGGATGCTCGTCAATCCGCGGCTGCCTCGTCGCTCCGACGAGCTGATCCTGCCGTTGTTTCGCGAGCTTGTGCTTGTTGGTGGCAGCGTGTCGCGTGAACGCCTGCTTTTGAACGTCGACTGCACCTTCCGTAAGCTTGCCGGTCTTGCCAGACAACCCTGCATGTTCCAGACACACAGAACACTTGAAGGCAGGGAGACCAGTTGAAGTTTTGACAAGCTGCAGCCACGCGAATTGACCTTGCCACCGTGTTTTGAACCTATCAAGAGCAACGGCATAAAGCTCCTCTATAGTAGCTGACGGTTGATTTGAGGCTGCCGCTTCGAGTACGGGCGGGGTGGGAACGTTGGTGGGTGTCGTCGGTGGCGCTGATGAAGGTCGAAGGAAGTTCAACTTCGACTGTACGAGCCGAGTAGCCGGGGACGCCGATGCAGCTGCCTGAGGGTGAGATGCAGGTGGAACGGGCCGACTTGCAGGCGACGCCACTTCGGGGGCAGTTGGTTGCGATGCAGGTGGAACGGGCCGAGATGCCGGGGTCGCCATCTCAAAACCTGGTGGATGAGCCGGGGCAGTAACCATAGGAGAAGCCGGAGACGGTGCTGCAGGTGTTGACGGCGCAACATGTACCGTCGTGGGTACAGTTTCGGTGACATCGGGAGTCGTTGAGGTGTTTATAACTGGGGCGACGATTGTGTCTGGTGGGGCGGAAGTAACAGTGGGAATAGCCGTTGATGAAACGGGTGGATTCTTGCTACGCGGTGGAATGGTTGCTTTTGATAACGAACACAGCAACAGGTCTAGACCCGTGCGTGCTATCTCCATCTCTATGTCGTCAGCCTCGTCGTCGGCAGCAGCACCGTCAACGGGTCCAGCCATGGCGGGAGTAAGGACGACTGAAGGAGGATGGAGTGGAGAGTCAGCCGAGAAACAGCGAGAACGGAACAGAACTAACCCAACACGGCATTCAAGAAAGGGGTGAAAGGGATGGGGAAGGGAGGCTCACCACACCTCGTTGGTGATTGGTTGACAGCCTCAACAAACCCCACCATGCAGGCGTGGATAGTCCACTAGGGGCCATCCACGAAATGAAATGGATGGGCCCCTTTTTCCGGCACGATTCCACAGCGTGTCGGTTTACGACAGTGACGCAGTGGAATCTTGCCAACCCTGGCCATGTGATTGGGCACGGTGTATGATTACCTGAAACTGCCCAATCACTTGCCAGCAACCCAGATGATGGCGACAACACATCAAGTCAGGTACGTGTGTGGTGGTGTGGTGGATACAGTAAAGATGCCATTTCCCGTGATTGACGGTGACGGCGGATTGGCGCGATTTTTTTTTTTTCCAGATAAACCGAATCTAGGCATTTCCGCAACTAAACCTGTACCCTGTACTGTATGATTCGATTCAGGGTCCTTCAGCAAAATCACGCTGGAAATTCAGGCCTAGTACGCAAAAGTTAGCTGGAATATCAGGATAGGCATAAAAAAAAAAAACTTTCTCATCAGCGCGGGGTCCAAAAAAAACCCTGAAAATCAGTGTTCAAAGCCCAAATCAGGGTAAAATTCCTGCAATCTGGAAGCCTGGTTCGGAGCGGTACACTCGATTGGGACACTTAGTTTGGGACAGCGTCCAGAGCGGAATGTACCCTTAGGCTACAGTGAGTAGCACTATAGGGAGTACAACACTTTTAGGGTTGCTATTTGTATCCCTTGTTTCCCTAGTTCACACATTCCGTTGTTCGCTAACTTTGAGATGGTATCATGAGTAGGTGTCGATCCTCTCGCCTAGCCTAGCCTAGCTCGCGCCCTAGCGCCCTCCGCACCCTTGCGCCCTCCACGCCCTCCGCGCCCTCCGCGCCCTCCGCCGCGCCCTCCGCGCCCTCCGCGCCCTCCGCGCCCTCCGCGCCCTCCGCGCCTTAGCCTCCGCGCCCTCCGCGCCATCTCCGCGCCTTAGCGACCTCCTCTTCCGCGCGTTAGCGCCCTCAGCGACCCTAGCCTGCGCCCCTAGCCCGTCGCCCAGGCGCCCGCCCTAGCCCGACGCCCAGGCGCCCGCCCTAGCCCGTCGCCCAGGCGCCCGCCCTAGCCCGACGCCCAGGCGCCCGCCCTAGCCCGTCGCCCAGGCGCCCGCCCCAGCCCGTCGCCCAGGCGCCCGCCCTAGCCCGTCGCCCAGGCGCCCGCACCAGCCCGTCGCCCAGGCGCCCGCCCCAGCCCGTCGCCCAGGCGCCCGCCCCAGCCCTTTGCCCAGGCGCCCGCCCCAGCCCGTCGCCCAGGCGCCCGCCCCAGCCCGTCGCCCAGGCGCCCGCCCTAGCCCGTCGCCCAGGCCCGCGCCCTAGCCCGTCGCCCAGGCGCCCGCCCTAGCCCGTCGCCCAGGCGCCCGCCCTAGCCCGTCGCCCAGGCCCACGCCCTAGCCCGTCGCCCCAGCCCGCGCCCTAGCCCGTCGCCCCAGCCCGCGCCCTGGCCCGTCGCCCCAGCCCTGCAGGCAGCGCGCCGCGCGGGTAGCGCGCCCCGCGGGTAGTGCGCCCCGCAGGCGGCGCGCCGTGCGGGTAGCGCGCCCCGCAGGCAGCACACCCTGCAGGCAGCGCGCCCCGGAGCGCTTTAGCGCCAGAAAATAAATACATTAAAAAAAAACCCTTAAAAAAAAACACAAAAAAAAAACAAAAGGGTTTCGGGTGGGGGCCTGCAACTGTCGGCCGCGTTCCTGCTTGCCGGGCAACCTGCACAGTTGCCTGCATCCCGCAGCCGTCAGTACTGCAGCCCCTACTGTCGCACGTACGTTCCACTGCCAGTGGCTCTACTAGCGGCAGCCGACAGCCGCACTTACGGTCTCTAGCTCCGGCCGTTCCTACCTCCAGCCAGCCCTAGCTCGCCGTTTTTAGCTCCAGCCAGTTGTGCTCCAACCACTCTCGCTCCAACCGTCCTTAGCTCCTGTCGCTCCTAGCCTGCCGCTCCTGCACCCCGCTAGCTTTTATCATGGAGTCCACTAGGGTTCTCCAGCAGCAGGGACAGAAGCAGCGGCCGTTTCAGCAGTGGCTTCCGCAGCAGCAGGGGCGCCCTCAGCAGCTGTGGCGCCCTCAGCAGCCGTGGGGGCCTGGTGGTTCAGGTCGCGTTGGCTGCAGCAGCGGCCCAGCCAGCTGGGGGGCTCGTCGCGGTGGCCGCGACGTCGGCCCCTGCCAGTACCGGATCCTGACCGGCCCTGGTGCTGGCACTACCTGCTGGCGTCCTGACCACTCTGCACAGCGCTGCTACAGCCGCCTCGACGACCTTTACCGTGAGCGTTTTGGGCCTGAGTCGGCTCCCCCGATCTGGCCCGGTCTGTTTCGTAGTGGTTACCCTGTGTTTGATATGTCTATGGATGCTGTTTATTCT